GCTCCTTATTTTTGCAAGTTAATGCTGTCATATGCAGGAATTAAAATGCTGAGCTAGCATTCATAGGGAGCTCCTTTAAAACATGAGAAAGTTGGGTTTGTTAAGGTGTTTTGTGCTCACACATATGTTCTCTTTTCAGTTTGGAGTTTGGAAGAAAGCAGGGAAGCAGCAAGCAGGAGCAAGAAAGAAAGCAGTTGATTCACAAGCATAAACGTGAACTGAAAGGAGCCATTCGTGAGATTCGGAAAGATAACCAGTTTCTGGCTAGAATGCAGCTCTCAGAAATCATGGAGAGGTAATGAAGCCTTTGTTCCAGCACCAGTTTGGAGGTTCTGCTCTGTGTTCATTTCTTTGCTGTGTGCCAAGACAATAACAATCAACCATACTGAAATAAATACAGTCTGACAATTTGGAGAAAATAAACATTTTCAATAGTTACGGTTTAAAGAGTTTTCAACTTCACGGTTTCATTTCTCTAGTTTAAGAATATACAGGTATTTTTTTAATGTTTTTATTGAAAAGTGTGTGGGAGTGAAATTTACAAGTTGGGGGGCTTTTTATAATTACACTTGTTTTCCCTAATACAATCTTTCTGAAATATTTTATATGTTGATTGTTTGTTTTTCAGAGATGCAGCCAGAAAAAGAAAAGTGAAAGAACTTCTTGGTAGCCTTTCTACACAGGAAGGTGAATGGAAAGCATTGAAAAGGAAAAAAGGGAAGAATTAATTGGGACTACAGCAGGAAACTGGTTTTACTGCCATATGAAATAGCCCAATCCTGTGGCTTTTGAACAGTTTTTAATTGCATTCTTTGGATGCGTTCCTTTTGAGGAGACAACATCATCAGATCTGTTTGAAAAAGTGAACCTGCGTGTTGGAAATATCTACAGGTTTTCATAAGGAAAATAAAATATCACTTTTGTATGTGGTATACTTCTGTTTATTTTAATAATAGAGAATATTTTGATGAATAATCAAAATTGAGGTGTGTGAGACCAGGTTTTAGTCTAACTTGAATTACATACACACTCACACAAAGTTGTACAGCAGAAACCTTTTATTATTATTTTTTTTTAATACTGGACAACTGCAGGCAGCTCTCACAGTGGTATATTTGCAGTTTAAGCAGTTATGTTTTAATTAGTCTGTGGCATTAGGACATTCTAATTCATGTATTCAGTGGAGTAATGGAACTGGCTTTCAAGTTGAAGTCCTTTGTTAAAGCTGTAGGTCCATTCATCTCTTCAGTAAGTTTTGAATTGAGCACAGCTCTGGAATTCTTAATATATAATTAAGAATTAATAATCTATTATTATTAATAATAGGGTGTTTAACTAGGATTCCTCAGTGTATTCATAGCTGTCTGAAGTGGACAGGGAAATCCTGTCAGTAAATCTAATTTAACAGTTAGGCCTGTTGTTTCAGACTGGCTTAAGTGTTGTCTTTGTTCTGTTTGTTTTCAAATGAGACTTGAATGGAATGGAAGCAGTACTAAAACTAGGAGGGGATGAGTTGAAACATTTAAGGCTTTACATTGAAACTAATGACAAAACCGTCTTTGGAAGTTAAGTCTTGTTAAAGGTTTGTCTATGTATGTTCTTAAGAGAAACGTGCTTTATTTGAAGGGGTTTTATTGAATCTTAATGTGCTAGTAGCAGTGAAAGTAATGTGTGATTATTTTCAGCATTTTTTGCTTGCAAAACCAGTTGTATTGAGTGTTAAAATAGGCTGGATACTAAACGCACATTGGGGACATACTCATGTCACATAAAAGTTAGTAAGACTGAAGTAAAACCATTCACACTTCTGAAAAGAAATCGATTTTAAGTTAACCTTTGCAAAATCAGTAACTGGAATTCCAAAATCTGAAACTTGAAAGGTATCTCAGAAAGTTAGTTATACCTCCTGGTTTATTTCCATTTGACACAGTGTGGACTTTTTACTTAAAAATATATATATATAAAGAAAAAAAAACCAAACAAAACTTTTTATACGTTCAAGCCAAGAACTTAAGACTGCAGTAATGAGGAAGGAGCAACTTCCTATTTCATGCTATAAATCAGCACTTTCAGTTCAAGGTTTTAGCCCCAGTATTATTTCTCCTTTGCACAAATAAACTGTCAAAAAAAAAGGTATTGTTTATTTATCTGACTTTATTTTTCCAATAGCAAGTAGCTTCAGAGGATTTACCCAGCAGGGTATTAAAATCACAGAGAGGCTGACAGCTACACTTTGATCCTGGGGCAGTGATTTTTGATACCACTGGCGGCTGCTTGTTACTCCTCAGTAAGGGACGTAAGAAAAATATAAGGGAGAGACACAAGTAAAATGGGATGATAGTGTTTGAGGGACAACAGGATGAACAGGAATATTTTGCAATGCTGATGAAAAAGAAAAAGGACAGGGAAACTTAACATACCTGTTTAGGGATGCCAGACTGAAAATCATGTTTCAAATCATGTGGAATGAAAGTTGCTGCATGCCCTTGTATAAATTGAATGAAATTTGCTGCATGCACTTGTATAAATTGTATTGTCAATACTTAAAATCAGATCTAATATTATAAGCCCGGTACTAATGGCGATGCGTAATATAGAGCATTTAACATGACTGGGAAAGCAGGACTACCTATAATAATAATCACTATGGTCTAATAGTTCTGTTATTGCTTAACTACCATAGTAGCTAGGCAGTGGTGGTGCTCTCATGTTGTGGTAGGAAGGTCTGAACATTTGGACTGCAAAGGGTTTTGAGCTTAGACTCAGCAAACTCTTTCTCATAGAGTTTCTTAAACACAATCATATTCATTATTATTCTCTTGTCTCTGTTGCTCTTAAACCAGAAATTGTTGTAACAGGCCTTTTGACACAGCTGTTAGCAATTATAAATCTGTTGTTACTTAGTGAAAAAGAAACTATTCTGTAACTAAATCAAGCCATCAGACACAAGAAAAGAGAAATTACTGGTTTGTGTTTAGTTCAGGTAATTACCTGTCAACTTCAGCTGTCCCAGAGAATAGCTATCCTGAATATAAATACTGTAAAGAATAGGGTAACAATAAAACTGTTCACCTAGAAATTGCATAAATTATTTATGACAGCATGAAAAGCTTCCTTGTTTGTTGGGTTTTCTGGTTGTCAGCTGAAAGCTGGTGTGAAGTGTGATATTCTCAGTCATGCCTTGCAGAAGTTAATCACCTACCGTGGTGTAACCATATTCTGTGTAAGCCATCTCTCTTTGCCATCAGCTTCTGCTACATGGAGGTCCTGAGGCTGCTCCTGAGCTCGGCAGGTGGGGTTTGGTGTGAAGCAGAAACAGAGCTCTGCTGGGCAGAGGCTGGTGTTCCTAATAGGCAGCTTGTTCAGCCGTGGAACCTTGCAGGGCTGATTTCCTCCTAGCATGTTTTCTGGGCATTTGGAAAAGATAAGCTGAGACATAAAACATTTGGTAGCTTTATCATAACTTTGGGACTGTGAGTTGTTATATATTGAAGGGGCCAAACCTTCCCAGAAATGGGCTGCTTTTGGTCTCTGTCACCTAAGCTAAATGGGTACATTCTCAGCCCTAAATGTGTTGACTGTACCATCTTCCATAGTTAAAATGATTGGTTATTTGTAATGGGTTACTTGAATAAAAACCCAAGACATAAAAAAATCAGTATTAATAGATGTAGTCTAAACCAAACCTCTAAGTTACTATACTGTTTATAAAACCTGCAAGGTTTTGGACTGGTCTTCCACAGGGATGGGGTAGGCAGTGACCTATCTGTCTAGTTTTAGAAGCAGTGCAGTGTGTTTACATGCAGGACTCTTACGACATGCTTGACTGCAGTAACAGCTCAGCTCAGGGATTTGCAAAAGGTGGGTTTAACAACAGGAAGAGCTGGATTTTTTTTTTTTTTTTTATTTTTTTGTAAATGCATCTGGATTCAGATGGTGCCTGGTCAGTTACACATGTTAATTCAGAGCCACAAGAATATACCTGCATATATGTTCCAAACATTAAATGGAGCACCTCAAAGCAGAAGTTTGCTTCTGAGTCAGCAACAATCCTTGCGTAATGGTTTGGTTTTCAGAGTATGTGCCATACCTACCAAGTTCCTTTTCTCAGACCAAACTAAGGACATAAAATGCTCAGGTAATGTAAGAGTAGCAGCTCACTATTTGATCTAACTGGCACGTTAATCCTGATGTTACATTAGATAAGCTCCTTCGGAATGCCTGACACAGATGTCACTGGGGAGTGACAGGTCCTCGTGTGAGAGCTGGCAGATCCTTGTGCATTTAAGACTACGAAGATACATGTGCTTAGCCCACTTGTAACCGTATACCATGTTTTAATGAGGCAGCTTGGATACGACATGGCCAGACAAATGAACCACGCTGGACAGTGCTCTCAATATCAAGTCTTTCCATGTTCTCTATGCTAAAATAATTACTGTTTTAAGGGAGCAGTTTTATTGCATCTTTTGCAAGTACCTTTCTCTGTCAGATTCCAGGAAATACCAATTTATCAAGCCTACACCGGAACGTAGCTATGTAGCAGCTAACAAAATAAGAGACCTCTCTTCTGAGAACGGATTTTTCACTAAACCAGATTTTTCACTAAAATAGTCTTTAGCGCTAGAAGGAGCGCTGGTCTGAGGTAGAATATACCCAGTTAAAGTACTGATGTATGAGGAGCGGGGCCCTGGTGACAAGGCGCGTCTCTCAGCCTGGGTTTTATGTCCCCTCAGCCCCGAGCAGCGGCGGCTTCCCGCCTTGCTGAGGGGAGTCCGCCCTACGAGGGGACGGCAGCGGGCCCAGGGGCTCCCTCCTCGGCGGTGCGGCGCTGGCCAGGGGGAGCGGCACCATCCCGGCCGGAAGAGGAAGGCCCCCGGTGCGCTGGGGAGGAGCCGCCACCGCCCGCCCGCAGCATCCCCAGGGACAGCTTCTTGGCAGGCGGCAGGGACCCGTCCGCTCACTGTTGCGGGCCCGGCCCCCGGAGGAGCGGTAGGTGGCCTGCGGCGGAGAGAGGGGAGCGAGCGGGCCGGGACCCGGGGCTGGGCTGGGCACCGCTCTCCTCGGCAGGGCTACGGGGACCCCGGGGCTCTGCCGGGCGGCGGCGGAGGGTGCCTTGTGTGGGTCACGGCGGGTCCTCGTCGCGGACTCCGCTGCTCTCCAGGGCCGACTCTTTCCCTCTCGACGGCCCCTCTGCCCTCGGGCTTTGGCTGCTCTGGGAAATTGCCTTTTATTTTATCGTCTTTCTTTTATGCTTTTTTTCTTCCCAATTGAAACTCGTGCTCTTGACCCGAATCAGGACTTTGGTAAGGAGCCGGTGGAGCCTTCTCAAGGTTTAGCAAGTAAAGCCAGGCCTAGGAAATTCCAGAGTGCGGGACAGGGTGGTAGGAAAGCATCAGAAGAATGGAACTCTTCTTGCTGGGAGATGACAAATCTGTGTCTGTGCACTAGGGCAGGGCCAGCTTTGTTGCTGAGCCCTTCCCGAGCGATACAGCATCAAAACCCAGCATCAAACCCAGCTGGTCAAAGGCAGAAGTGATGAGACACATCCTGAAGGGGATGGCTGGGAAGAACCAGGGTAGAGCCAAGTGAGAATCAGGGACACAAGTGTCCATACAAACGACTTCCTTAAACTGAAAATCCTCCCCCCTCTTCAAACATGCCTCATAGAAATCAAATGTCACGGTAGAGCTGAAGTGTTTTGTTTTTGCTGACAGGGTGCCAGGGCCTATAAAATGTTTGGTGGTTTCCTGCCTAGCATAAAATATGGAGAGGTTTGAACAACAGAACTGATGGAGCACAAAGGCAGAAACATGTAGTACCTTGGGATATTGCGTAAGGGAAATTGCAACCACATAGCCAAAAGTGGAGCTAAATGAAAGGTCAGTGCTAGCATCAGTAGGTTCAAGCTGCACGCTAGCTGAAATGGCCATGAGGGTAAGGTGTAAAGGATGTTACCCTGCATAAATAGCCCTGTAATAAAGTTCAGCTTGGTCCTATAATTCAGTGGATGAATAAACAAATTGTGAGGAAAAGTGAGTTTCAGTCTGCAACGATGAACCCATCCCTCAACGCTTAGACCTAAGGAGAATTTGATGAAAAGAATGGTTGGGTTTGGCTCCAGATGCTCTTATATCACTTGAGTAAACAAATAATGCTAAATATTTATAGCGGTGATGACTTGCCATTTCATATAAAAGAATCCTGCACGTAACCAAGCTGCGCTGTTCACTAGCAGATTTAAGAGCATTATGGCAGGAGTTTAATAAATGGATTGCAGGTGTGTCCCCTTCCATGTTTACCTCATGATGTTGAACTTTAATAAGGCTTCAGTGCTAGTAAACAGAATTGACAGTAAAGAAATATCACAATAATATTTATTCCTGAGCATAACAAAGTATTGTGATCTTCAATTAGTGTAATACGATGTTAAATACACAATTACCTGTGTAGGTAATAATTTATATCAAGAATTGCTCAGTGGTTTCAATCCCGAGTCATCAAAGTCAATGGATATTTTGTCATTGGTTGACTTTGTTAGAGGAAATTCTGTCTCATTTTTTACCCCTGTAGTGTATCTGATGTTCAGGGTTTGTTTTTTTTTGCAATAAAAAGGACTGCAAATTTGATTGCTTTATGACTGAGACTCTGTAATGTTTTACAGTTCTGAGCTTTGTAGTTTCATAGTTTGTGTATTACTCCTTGATTTTGATACTTGTTGAAACTGAGATTTTTTTTTTCTGTATATGGGCTGGTTTCTTTGATAAATAGTGAATGTGATATGGCCTAAATCCTTGTTTAAGACTTTTAAGGCAGTTTTGGAGTATTATCAAAAAAAAGCTGGGGGTTCTGATATTTCTGACTAATTAAAAATGCTGCCTTAATCATTTGATGCCCCAATTTTTTTAATTGTTATTGCTTTAGTCATTTCTAGTATACACTGAAGACATAAAAAAACCCTATTAGTTACTTGAATGCAGCTACCAAAAACAAGAGTGCCCCTTCTTATTTTAGTGTAATGCTGAGTTGAAAGCATTTAGGAAAGTTGTACTAGCATTGCTCATGTGTTAACCACCTCTAAATGCTCCTTAATTCTGTGTTTTACTTGGGATGCACCTATAATAGAGTTTATCTTATTGCCCTCATAGTCTGTTCTTGAGGTGAGCAAATTTGGTGCTGAGCTAATAACCAAGGCTAGAGAGAGGAGGTTCCTGTTCCCTTGAAAAGCAGGTAGCTTAATATAGCCATAGCTTATATTTATTTTTGTGAAGTCTGTAGCAAGTGAGAATGAATTAGCAAGATACTCTTAAGAAAGGGCTGCAAAAAGCTTCCTACTGACTGGTTGTAAATGGAATTTTTTAGAAGCAGAGCACCTGGGAACATGGCCCCACAAGAGAGAGGAACCAGCAACAGCTCCATCAGTGACAAGCAAGAACGTAACTCTAGTCGTGTTATTGCAATTGTTTTCCTGGCACTCTTCATTGACTTGTTGGGATTTGCTCTCATCTTGCCACTGTTTCCTTCCATCCTTGATTATTACAGCCAGACTGAGGTAAGCAACAGAGAAAGAAAGTCAGCCTGCTGAAAATGTTAGCTGTGAGATATTTAGGGAAGGATGGGAGAAAAATCACTTGCCTTGGAGCAAAGTGATTAGCTTTAGGCATTAGCTTTCATCATTAGCTGTAGGCAGAATAATATCCAGTACTTTTAAATGGTTTCATGGACTGCATTTGTGACCCTGAATGAGACTCTTCTCTCTTTCTCTTTCATTAAAATGAGGGAGCTGTTTGGGAGAATATTCAGGTACTTCTTAGGAGCTAGTCCTTGTAATTACTGGTGCATTTGTGACTTGCACTAATGTTACTGCTGAAACAGAGTAAATGATAATCTGTAAAGGACGGTTTAGTTTGAGGTGTCCCTGCCTGTGGCAGAGGGGTTGGAACTAGATGATCTTAAGGTCCTTTTCAACCCTAACTATTTTATGATTCTATGATTCATACCAGGGTTTATCTAAGAACCAAAGAGATGAGAGCTTTAACCCTACTTGAGTATTTCACATACTCACTTGCTTCCACCTCAGCACCATGTTCACTATGTCTCAACTTCCATTCTTAGCAGGGAGCTGGCTGCTGCTTTGGGAACACAGGGAAGAAAGTAGTGTTGGTTACTGGCTGTGCAGATGCTTTCAGTTACCATTCTCAGGTGTTATTGGACAAAATCCTGTCATGGAAGAATTATTTTTCTAGCCCACACCTCCATCCTGTAGTTAGAAAAACCCCACTCCAAATGCAGCTGTAGGCTTTGTGTTTCTTACAACCCTGTCTCTAATCCTAACCATGGGCTCTGATCTTCAGGATTTTCTTCCACTTCCAGTGTATTTCCTATAGCAAAGACCTTCTCAGGGTCCCCTTCTTTTCAAGTCTTCCTCCTCTTTTCAGGAACCATTCTTTTTCACACCTTTCTGGACCTACATGCCCCTGCTTCTTCCAGGCTAAACAGTCTTATGTACAGAGAGATACAGTATGTCTCATGTTGCCTTTTTGATTGAAAGATTCAGGCCGTGCCACTTCGTTTAGTTCAGGATTTAGCAAGTATGCTTTAAAAAAGTTCAAATTCAGATATTCCCCCACCCAGATTAACTGCTGCCTTTTAGCATTCACAATTTCAGCTATTTTTAGTGTATGACAACTGATCAGTGAGGAAATCTTCCCTGGGAGGAGGAAGAGGGAAGGAATCATCTGACACTGCCTTTAGTTCACTAAGCTCTGATGCTTTCTTTGAAAATAAAACACAGAAGCTGTCTTCTTGCTTCTATTCCCCAGTTATCTGTTTTGCAGGATGGATTCTACTTGTCATTGCAACGTGGTGTGGACTGGTTTGCAGTGATGGCTGGGATACCTCCAGAGCGTAAATACAACAGTGTCTTATTTGGAGGTATGGAGATTAAACAAGCTAACAGACCAAAACTAAAAAACAAAGGGAAAAATAAAGTGTTATGAGGAATGAGGAAAATGCCAAGAAATACAAAAAACATACTTGCCTGTTATTATATTTAGATTTAAATAACACAGAAAATGTCTCTTACAGTAGGCTATAAATGGTTTTTGTTTTCATCGCACTGATAGCAACAAAGAGGTGGACAGCCCCATCTCTGTCATTTGGAGACACTTAAAGGCAGGAGGAATGGGACAACAGGAATGTTATGAAATTCGGTGAGGACACATGTGAAGTCCTGCCTGTGGGAAAGAGTAGTCCCTTGAAATGATGCAGACTGGGCGGAAAGGTTTTGAAGTCTCCATCCTCAGAAGTTGTTAAACTCTGACTGGATGAAACCCTGAATAATCTGGTCTGATCTCACAGCTGACCCTACAAGCAGGCAGTTGGAATAAGTGACCTCCACAAGTCCCTTTTAATCTGAATTATCCTATGATCTTGCCAATTTGTTCTACAGCTGCTACAGAATACAGGCCTGCAGCTGAGGGTCAGGAGCCTGCTGTGCTAGGCACAGAAATTACTCTCTTCAGAATTGATCTACACATGATTGGAGTTCAGTCAGTGGGAAACAGTGGAAATAGAAGCTTGTGAGTTCAAGTCTCACCTTCCCCTTGGGCAGCTGTAGTGCAGCACTGCTTCTAAATCTCATTAGTCCTATTAAAAGCAGCAGAGCTGCTGACTTGCAGGGTCCAGATGCATTTGAAGTCACTAGGACGCTGGTGTGAGTGAGCTCTAGCGTGAGTAGTGCAGGAAATCCAGCAGCATGTACATTTGTGTTACACATCAGAGGCTCTTTGGCTCCTTGCTATGTAGACAGTTGTGAGGAAACTAGGATTTCAGAGTATGTCTGGGTTAATTTTAGTTTTTTATAAATTTTCTGTTATACCCAAATAGACTACTGAGCAGTAACAATGCATTCAAATTTATATTCTAATAAAGCTTTTTGGTTGGGTTTTATTTTTTAGTTTAAAAGCCTTTTTCTTATCTGAGGGAGGCCTCAGCTCACTAAAAGGAGGGGCACATCTGGGTGTTTTTACAGTGCCAGAAATACAAAGAACAAAACTTGTCTCATTAAAATAAACTGCCAGGGTACCAGTCTGTAAGACTTTTTTCTATAGCTTTTTGAGCTATCATAGGCTGTTTTCCACAAGGTGTTCAGTATCAATATTCTGCCTCCCTCAAAACTGATGTGAGCAGAACTTCTGGTCTCTCTCTCCTCTGCCTTTTAAAGCTTTGATAGCTGAATGAGCTGAGACAGATAACCCAGTTTTTCCTTTAGACAGTGACAGCAAGGCTTTTTATTATGCCTGCTTGTTGAGAGTGTAGTGCAGATTAATAAGTGTATGAAGCTAGAAATGGCAAGAGAAAAGAGGAAATAAAGATCACAGAAGCTGGAGGCAGATTTCAAAAGACTCTTGGGAGTCTGGAATCAGTCCTACTTCTTAGGGTGCCTCACTAAGAGCAGTGCTTATGCCCTTTTCATGATAAGAAGGAAAGAAAAACTAAATAAATGTGACAGAATCAGGTTTAAACAATAAAAAAAAAGAAAATCTAAAAGCACTGTGACTATTAAAAACTGTGTTATTTCTGCTCTAAGAATAGAAAATGTACATAGTCAGCCAGGAATGCATTGGAGAATCAGCATTCCATTATAACCAGTGAGTTTCAAACCTCTTCTCACCAATGAAGTAACCAGTGGATCATCCAGTTCATACCTGTTTCTCTGTTCTGACTGTGTATCTGCTCTGTCTGTGTGTGCCGCCTCAGTTAATAACAATACCAGATCTGTGTTTTAAAGGTAGCTCAGTTTCAGAGACAAAGCTTCTTTGTAGCTATTGTTTTACATTTAAGAGCATGATGTTAAAGTGGTGCGATAGATCTAGAACAGGTTGCCTGTGTTTGTATTCAAGATGAAGGCAGCAAATCTAATGTTGTATGTATTTCTGTTTGATTTAGGTCTGATCGGCTCAATCTTTTCCATCCTACAGTTTTTCTCCTCTCCCCTCACTGGTGCTATGTCGGACTGCTTGGGGAGGAGACCTGTCATCTTGATGACAATGGTATGTGTCACTTGCTGATTTTAGTCATGCTGTCTCAATACACAATTGAAGGCACTAGGATCTTGGGGTTAGCACAAAGGACTGGGAAACTGAATGTTCCAGATCTCTTGGTTGTTGACTGCTTTTTGCCAAGTCACTTGGCCACATTTACAGATCCAAGTGCTTAAGCTGAGTTTCCCAGAACCAGAATTGTACATAGAGGGCACCAAAATACCTGTCTATTTCTGGGATTTTTCCAAAATCCCTTTCGCTTGTGTACAGCAGATACAATAGATACTACTATAGATACAATAGGTATTAATAGATATTAATATTAGACTTAATCCCTGTAAATTTTAGTTCCCTGAGTGAGTAATGAGGGTTGATCACTTGATGACCTGTTTGTTTCACAGAGCCTGGGGATTATTGGTTAGGGAGTGCTATATAGCAGTGTAAGATTTATTTCTTAGGAACATTCTTCAAAATGTTTTCTCTGTTACTGGTCAGAGTATGGATTTCTAATTACAGAAGCACTGCAGAGCAAGTGCATACATACGTGGTGGAATTCGGCAGTGAATTATACACAATTCCCCTTATTGTGTATCCTGGAGAGTGAATTCAATAAGCATGTGTGTGTATGATTGATTATGAAATTTAAGGGCTAGAACTGTGAATTCTTCTTACTTTGAACTCAGAATTCTCTTGATGTTGGAAACAAATGGAGTGGGATGTACAAAAGTGGTTTTGTGCCTGGGACTTATTTAGCTCTCTCTGAACTCTTCTAATTTTGTCAGTAATCAAACATCTATATAAAATTTGTTTCTACTTCTTGTGTATCACTGTCTAGGATGTAGTGCAGTTATCAGTATATTCAGACATTTCTGTTATGTGGGTTTTGGAACACTTGTTAAAAACAAACAAAATGTTTGGGAAATGTGCAGAAATGATACAACTTTGCTCTGCTTTATAAAGAACCTTTTCTTGCTTCTGCAGATAGGTTTGATAACATCATACTCACTATGGGCTGCCTCTAGGACTTTTGGCGTTTTTCTTCTCTCCAGGATCATAGGTGGAATAAGCAAAGGGAATGTAAGCCTCTCCACAGCTATAGTTGCTGACTTGCACTCTCCAAAAGCACGGAGCAAGGGCATGGTGAGTTACATGTGAAGTACATGTTTGGGTTTACTAGGACACTTTTAATTGATTCATGTGCTCAGAATGTCTTCCTCAGATATGAATGCACTGATCAAGTGAAAACATGACTTCAGATGCTACCTTGCTTCTGAAAAGATGCCATGTTCTGCTGGTGAGCTCTCAGACTTGACCTGTCAGTAACTTTCACCTACTAGTGAAGCACAGATGCCCTAGAGGTGGAGAAATTATCTGTCTATTATAACTGTACTCCTGCTGATAACTTTAATCCTGATTATAAAAACTTAGAAATTAAAAGATCTTATGGCCCAGTTTTGGTAGCTGCAACTCAGTTACAGGACAACCCATTTTTCTCACCTTCCCAAACTGTGAAAGTGCAGCAGTGCTGCACTGCACAGCATGCCTCTGACTTCCCCAGATGCTGCACTGGCTCCAGGGTCTGAGCTCAGCAGGTAAAGGCTGTGGCATTTGGCTGACAGAGCAGCAAGCAGTATGAACTGCTCCCTTGGCCTCTTCCAGAAGACAGTTGCCCAGCTGGAAACACCCTGCAGGCTGCACTTAGTCTGTGAATTACCAGTTAGATCTTTTGTCTTACAAAAACTTTGGGGGCCCAAACTTCTCTTAGCAGCTTGTTATAAGCAACAGTGTGGGATAGCTGCTTCTTAGGAGGGGAAAGCTTTAGGTTTCACAGTGATAACTAATGAATTTTCCAAACAATTTATTATGGTCCTGGTGAGCCAAAATACACTTTTATTTGTGTAGAGGGTTAGCCAAAGAGCATTAGTAAATAAAATGGGTCAGAGCCTAATTTTAGGGCCTGAGAGCAAATCACTGCAGCATGGCTCACATCCATGGTTTATACTCTCTTATTTTCCAAAGCAGAGTAGGCATGTTCATTCTGCTTTCTGGGAAGAGACTAGCATCTGATTGATGCTATTCCCAAACTGTTATGGACGGTTGCCTGAGAGAGTGCTATCTGGGTAGGCTAGAGCAACACTGCAGACTAAGGTGACACAGGAGCATGCCCTGGCCTTGTTTAGTTTAGTACTACAGATATAGTTAAATAGGCTCAGGAAAGCCAGAGGATTATGTCCTGGGATAGCACATGTTTGAGTCCTGTGTATGCAAGTATACCTCTTTGATTGTCTCCTAAAAGACAATGAGTCAATGAGCCAGATCCTGCACTGTTTTAAGCAATTTCACTGACCTGCTGGCTCAAATCAGTGCTCTTTCAAGCTCCCATCCACTGTGTACAGATTCTACCTCTTCACCTATGTGCTGGTTTTGTAGTGAGTTAAATCCTCCTTAGTACCTTCACTAAACTCAGGTTGTTCTGGGAAGCCTCTCAGCCTGTGTGCTCTATGAAACATAAATTCTTAAATACAGAAATTGCTGAAGCAGTTTAGGAACTATAGACATCATTATGGTTTCCAGCCATGGCACTGTCTTCCCTCCTCCAGTTTTACACTACAAAAGTTTATCCTATGGCTGAGCAGTTCCTTAGGTGAGAATCATTATCTCCCTTCCCAACTTCCTTTCAGTTTGGCATTTGTTCCTGTCACTTTCCCAACTGGACAGAAAAGAGAATTGTTTTTTTTGGAAATAACAGGTTTTCACACTTAATGCCCTTTGCTGTGCACTCTCTACATCCTCAGGGAGATTTTGTATCTGGTTGCATTTCTTTAAGGCAAATGCCAGGAAATCCAAACCATTTTAGGACTGAGCTACCTGAACAAACTGGTGCCTAAAGCTTACATGTCTGTGTTCATTGTGTCACTGCAGGCAATGATTGGTGTTGCTTTCTCCCTTGGTTTTACCCTGGGTCCCATGATCGGAGCTTACCTGGTGATGGAGACAGAGAAAGGAGAAGTATTCTATCTCCGTTCAGCATTGGTAGCACTCATGTTTGCTGTGGCTGATTTAATTTTCATCTTCTTCCTACTTCCGGAGACACTTCCCAAAGAAAACCGGGTAAATGGACTGTCAATGTGGAGATGTGTGTTTCTGGCAAATACAGTGTTTGAGAACTGTTGTAATACTGGAAACAATGAAGAGACTTAGCCAGTGACTCAGGAATTTAGCTTATTCCCAGGAGCAGGATTAAATACTGGATGGCGTCACAGTTGCTGCATGATGGTCCCAATCTCCTAGCTCCTAGTAATACATGAGAAATTCTTTAGAGCTAATGTGACTGCGTAGTTGCTAGTTTTGGTGTGTTTAAATTTATCAAAACCTAATGGGAACATCAAAGGGAGAGGGGAATTTTAAACTATGATCACAGTGACTCTCTGGGGAGGAATTTCTGCGTATCATAAGAGTGAATGCATCAGAGACTGGGTTTGCTTTCATTTAGCTGGTTATGTAGAAGAAATTCTCTTAACCATTTTCCTGTCTTTGCTTGAGTATCTTGAACACTGAAGTAGCAAATGACTGAGCTCTGAGCTGTGCTGCCTTCTGCAGATACAAAATACCTACACATGCTAAATTGCAGTGAGTTTGCATTTGTGGGGCCAAACATTAACTTATAATTTAATACTATGTGATCAGACACTGTCCAAGATACCTGATTGAAAGCTGCTTGGAACAGTTCCTTTGTAGTGTGGGAGAGGCTGAATTCAGCCCTCAGTATCTGGGTGAAACACTTGATTTAAGGTTCTCAGCTGGATTGTGGCTTTCCTGTCATCCCTCATTTCTAAGCAGCAATTTGTTCTGGAAACTTCTGTTTGCAATGCTTCTACCAGGGCAAAACATTAGACCTTCCCTGATCATTTCCCGGCAGGTTGTGTCCCATGAAATCAGTTGCTCATATTATGCTACCAAGCACTACAGCTCTTTTATTCTTTTTCCTTTAGCAGCTCTTCCATGCGTCATCTGTTCCCTTTTCCTATTTGGCTGTTTCTAAACATTCGAGATCAAATCCTGTTCTTAGCTAGAGCTGCACACTGGGGTGGTGGCAACATGTTGATGTAAGGAAGTGCTGTAGAGCTAATCTGTATTCTATAAACAGTTCCACTTGTAGAAGGATAAAGCCTTTTAGGACTGTATGATGACTGCCTTCCCTTTTTACAATCTTCTTGAGAGTATGCTAAGCTAGTCTGTGTTAGCCAACAGGACTGAGTTTTGATAAGAAAATGAGTGCTCTGTCCCTGCTTTTTGGGCCCTGTCTCTGTGCAGCAGTGGGTATTGCATAGAATCATAGAATAGTTAGTGTTGGAAAGGACCTCAAGATCATCTAGTTCCAACCCCCCTGCCCTGGGCAGGGACAACTCCCACTAAACCATGTCACCCAAGGCTCTCTCCTTGAACACCGCGAGGGATGGAGCATTCACAACTTCCTTGGGCAACCCATTCCAGTGCTTCACCACCCTAACAGGAAAGATTTTCTTCCTTATATCCAATCTAAACTTCCCCTGTGTAAGTTTAAACCCATTACCCCTTATCCTGTCACTACAGTCCCTAATGAAGAGTCCCTCCCCAGCACCCTTATAAGCCCCCTTCAGATACTGGGAAGCTGCTATGAGGTCTCCACGCAGCCTTCTCTTCTCCAGGCTGAACAGCCCCAACTTCCTCAGCCTCTCTTCATACGGAAGGTGCTCCAGTCCCCTGATCATCCTTGTGGCCCTTCTCTGGACTTGTTCCAGCAGTTCCATGTCCTTTTTATGTTGAGGACACCAGAACTGCACACAATACTCCAGGTGAGGTCTCACAAGAGCAGAGTAGAGGGGCAGGATCACCTCCTTCGACCTGCTGGTCATGCTCCTTTTGATGCAGCCCAGGATAAGCTTGGCTTTCTGGGCTGCAAGCACACACTGAAGCTGGCTCATGTTCATTTTTTCATCAACCAACACCCCCAATTCCTTCTCCGCAGGGCTGCTCTGAATCTCTTCTCTGCCCAACCTGTCGCTGTGCCTGGGATTGTTCAGACCCAGCTGTAGGACCTTGCACTTGGCATGGTTAAACCTCATGAGGCTGGCATCAGCCCACCTCACAAGCGTGTCAAGGTCCCTCTGGATGGCATTCCTTCCCTCCAGGGTATCAACCAAACCACACAGCTTGGTGTCATCGGCAAACTTGCTGAGGGCGCACTCAATCCCACTGTCCATGTCAGCGACAAAGATGTTGAACAAGACCGGTCCCAACACCGATCCCTGAGGGACACCACTCGTTACTGGTCTCCAGCTGGACACTGAGCCATTGACCACAACTCTTTGTGCGCGGCCATCCAGCCAGTTCTTTATCCACCGAGTGGTCCATCCATCAAATTGATGTCTCTCCAATTTAGAGACAAGGATGTCGTGTGGGACAGTGTCAAACGCTTTGCACAAGTCCAGGTAGATGACATCAACTGCTCTACCCCTGTCCATCAGTTCCATAGCCCCATCATAGAAGGCCACCAAATCGGTCAGGCAGGATTTCCCCTTAGTGAAGCCATGCTGGCTGTCACCAAGCACCTTGTTGATTTTCATGTGCCTTAGCATGCCTTCCAGGAGAATCTGCTCCAAGATTTTGCCAGGCACAGAGGTGAGACTGACTGCTCTGTAATTCCCCGGGTCATCCATTTTCCCCTTCTTGAAAATGGGGGTTATATTTCCCTTTTTCCAGTCGTCGGGAACTTCACCTGACTGCCATGATTTCTCAAATATGATGGCCAGCGGCTTCGCAACTTCATTTGCCAGCTGCTTCAGGACCCACGGATGGATCTCATCAGGTCCCATGGACTTGTGCATGTTCAGGTTCTTAAGATGGTCTCAAACCAGATTCTCTCCTACAGATCCTACCAGATCCTCTCCTACAGTGGGCCTAAGGTTTTCATTCTCACCGTGCATATAGGTGCCTCTCAGAGTCAGGTCTCAGTTATGCAAAATACACATAGGGTGTTTGATTGCTGATGAGACAATGGGTTTTCTGGCACTGGAGCTTCTTGTAATTGCTATTGGTGTTAGTGCTTTTGTGCGTCCCCTTTCAGCCTGCATCTGGGCAGTGGCCCCATGTGATTTATGTGCTGTAGGGCATTTGTCATTTAATTTGTCGTTTCACTTGTTAGGCTACTTTGCTCTTTTGTTGGGGAATTTCTCCCACTCTTGAGTGGGAGGGGAGCGGTTTTCTTGGCCTGTGTATGACAGAGGAAAGGCAGGTATGTTGGCTGCCTTTCTGGAACTTGGTGTGGCTGAATTGGAGGAGGTGTACGAGTGGATGTGTTGGAAGGACAGAGCTGTAAAACGAGGGGAAATTGTAATGATAACTGGTAGGAGGATGTGCCAGTGGGATCAGACATCTGTTTCCTTGAAATATGCTGTGTTCTCATGACACTCTTTTTTTCTCTATCATCAGTCCCCTTTTCACAGGAGAGAAGAAATATTTCACATTCATTCATATTGGAGTGAACTTGTAGAAAGGGGAAGGTGAAAGGGGGACAAGGGGAAAAAGGATGAGTTTTCATATGAAGAGTTTTCATTATCCTTCTCCCCCTTGGGTTTAGAACTGATCCACACGTTTGTCAGGTCAAGAGTAACCAGTGAATATGTTTCACCTGTCAAAACCACTGGTCCTATGTGAGGTGGCTAAAACAGCTCCTGCTTGGGAGAAGGGAGGCCTAGAAAGGTGTCTAATAGATTCTGTCCCCTTTAAGACCTTTAGAGTTGATGTTCAGCTAAACTAGCCGTGGGCAAGGCTGCCTAGCTGGAGGGAGGGTCTTGCAACTGATAATGTAAGAACTATGTGTAGGGCTGTGGAGCATCACTAGCAGACTTACGGAAAAACAAGCTTTTGCTCTATGCATACTAAACAGTGTCTGAAGAGTGAGGCTGCAGCTTGGAAAGTGCAGGCTGCATCCTGATTTGGACTGACTCTGTGCCTTCAAGGCATATTACTTAATCTCTCTGCATTAGAAGAAGGCAGAGTAAACAGACACTGAGAAATGTCTGGCTTTCAAGGTGACATTTGGAGTGATCATGAGGTAAAACTGAGCAATTTCTGAGTAATAAATCAGAAGCATAGAAATTAAACACAAATCAGATGTTGCAGATTTTGAACCTGAAAAGAATCTAAACTCCATGCAGCGCAACTGGTGACATGGACTGAAACTGCAGTGTATACTTTGCTGTTTGGGGGTGGTGAAATGCTTTTGTCAGGTTTAGGACAATGTTTTCATTATCAGTCAGTGCATGAAGGCACTTGTGGATCACTGTTTCTAGGGCAAATAGAGGAGAAATTAAAAGATTTATATGCACACACATATATTAAAGAATCTAATAAATGTGTATATAGCTATATATTTTATAAAACAATATTTTAAGCATATACATTATCTGTGATGCAATGTATATCCTCTGGGCCGAACTAAAATCAGCCTTGTAGTGCAAAGCAGCTTGGCACTTTGTCTGACGTGGGTAATAATTTAAACAAGGTACAACCTGCAGGGTTTTTTGTTACTGGCAAATATGCTTGAAGAGAGTTGCTTGCTCCCAGATGCCCTGTGCTGTAGTGTAAACACCATCATGCCAACAAATGCAGGAACTGAGGATTGCTGCAAGCCAGCTTCAGGAAATCCTCTTACAGACCTTTTAAAAGCCTGAAGAAACTTCTGCTTGGGAGTGTCTGTTTACACTCTGCAGTATATGCAGTGGAAAGGGAAATAAATATTCCAGTTTTTTCTATGTACATCAGCAGCTTTATGGCTTTATACAAAACCAGTCTAGTATATTGAACTGGTTGCTGTTGTGAGACTAATAGGCTCCAGAGTTTTGCTGTCAGACACTCAGAGGCTCTGACTACCAAAACAAGACAGCAGTCGTGTTAATACTATATGGAAGGTTCATTTGTTTATGGCTTAATTAAATCCAGTCCATACGAGTCCTCAGGTCACGCAGAGATTAAGTCCCACTGATAATTTGACCTTTAATCTCTGCCACAGAGGGGTAGTAGCTCACTCCCTCCTTATGTGGGAAGAGAAAGAAGCTCATCAGATAAAGTCTGTGCAGTGCTTTGAAGTTATGAAATACAAAGTGTGATTATTCAGTATTCTTGAGTCTGTCTTATCTCTTCCTGTGGCTGTCATGTAAAGTGGCAGTCTGAATTCTCCTGCTTTAAAAGGATTTACCTCCTTTAGAATTTAGGCATTATTTCTTCTTTAGCATATTCTTTAATTTTCTATACCTTAGAATTAAAACTATAAAAGTTCAGTTCTCTATAGATGAAAGAATAAGCATCTCCTGAGCATGTGTTGATAAGGAGCAGTGAAGAGTACCACTAGGTGCAGAATGAGGTTGAGATGTACGAAGTGCAAGGACCAGAAGTGCTACGAAAGACACTTTCCTCTTCAGAAAGCCACACAATGCAGCTGGGTAGAATCCCTATAGAAATCTCTCTAAAATACCTTAAAAGATTCTTCCTTAAAAATTACATTTTCCTTTTCTTCCCCAGGAGGTGTCACCGGCTGGCTAAAAGAACAGCCAGTACCAAAACAGATTGTTGTTTGATGTGCTACACATACTGTTCTCAGACTTGCATCACACAAGCAAATCCCCAGCTTCCCATGAGCTTGCAGGCAGATATGCCACTGTTTTCAAGTAAATGCTCATTGGACATGAGGGATGAGGCAGTAGGTGAACCAAAAAAAGCCACCTTCAGTGCTGTAGAGAATGAGCTGCTTCTGCTTTTTAAGAACCCAGAGAAGAGTCTGGTTTGTGTCTTCAGTGAAAGGTGCTGTCAGTCTTCTACTGTCTAGTTACAGTGCACAAGCCAGTCCTGTGTTCAGAAAGTCTGGGTTGTTATTATATCAAACCCCAATGCCATTTGCCTTGTTTCATCTCAGATTATCTGTGTAGGTGTAGAAGCACATTCAACTGTTACTGTCAGTTCCTTGCAGTAGTTATTACATCAGGTTTTTAAACAAACCTCTTTCTTTCTCCAATCAGGTCTCTTCTGTGACATCTGGATTTCAGGCAGCAGTTGACTTACTCAGTCCTTTGGCTTTATTTCGGTTCTCTGCAGTCACCCGAGGAAAGGAATCCCCTTCAGAGGAGAGTGAGTGTTACCTGCCTTTGCCTGTTTCTATTGTATGTCTTTTTGTATGTGGCAGTGGTTTCTAAGTGAAAACTTTACTCAAACCGTTTCAGCAGCAGCACTCTGTTCAGTCATTTAAAACCCACCTTCCTAACTTACGAACAGGGAATTGCAAGTTCCCTTGGACACTGGTCATGTTATTCCCAAAAGAAGATCAGTGTTTTGAAGATTTCTAACTTGCTTTTTCTTCAGCATGGGGTAGGCTGCAGTAAGTGAAGTGATTTAAAAAGATAGATCAAGGCATGAGTAAAGGAGATGTGAGTTTATTCAAGCTGCAAGCCAGGAAACTTCAGGCTGGAGTTTTATTTCTCAAATCAGGACCTGGAGATGTAGGATTTGAGCTGGCCATTTCTCTATATGAAATTTTGTAAGCCAAAGAAAATAAATCAGTGTTTGCCAGGTACACCAGCATTCCTCCTTGCTGCTGCATCAGGAATAGAGTGACATTTGCCACTTTGGAGAAAACCTGCTAAACCCTGCACTGGCAGGAAGATAAGGAAGGTAATTTGGCACAGCCCATTTCTAGCTTAGAAAAATGGCTACTGTGATTTAGCCAGTATGATCCTGACAGCAGCATCAAGGTATTAGGTGCAATACAGGCATTGATTAAAATAATGAACAAATAAATACCCTGTATCAGTGGGAGTGGGAGGCAGAGGGGCTGGGTTGGGTGAGTGAGAACCAGAGAGAGATTAGTGGTTTTGTCTCTTTCCCCTCAGAAGAAGGGATGTAATGAGCAGAAATCATTTTGGGGTATGTCTTGTATTGGATATTTAAAATGAGCATCTGAGGTGAGAACTTTTCCCTGTACAGCTGATAAATGTTGCTCTATTGTTGTTGTTATATTCTCAAGCTGTGCTTGAAAAAGTATCACTGTGTTTCTCTATCTCTCTTTATTTTTTCCCTTGGTGTTTTTCCCTTCCTTGTTTGTTTCTTTGTTTAGATCTTCAGAATCTCAAAATCTTGGGCCTGGCGTATTTCCTGTACCTTTTCCTGTTTTCCGGCTTGGAGTACACACTGAGTTTCCTCACTCACCAGAGATTCCAGTTCAGCAGGTACAGCACACTTAGAAGATAAATGTGTGTTCTGTCTAGGATAGTTTCCAAAATCTGGATTTAAGGTCTGTTGTATTTAAGAAAGGTTTTCTGAGGTCAGTAAAAACACTCAGAAAGCAACAACTGCTTCAGTCATACTTGGGCTTTGTGGGAAGGATTTATGAAGATACAGGCAAACTGTTTACCATGAAAGGAAATAACCTACAACTTCTAATGACCAGAGAAAATCAATACATGAAGCTTCTGAAATAGGTACAGCTGGGTTAGTTCCATTGATTATAATGAAACCTGTTCTTTTCTTGCTCAGAAGAGATCTTCAGTATCGGGACAAATCTTGAAGCTCAAAAAAGGCAAATGATGGGGAGGGATAGCTGTGCGATTATATTTGCTCATCAGAGTTGTGCATTGTGTACGGTGCACAGTCATTACATCATAGAGTTTGGTTTGCTTTAGTCAAACACTAGAGAAGAAAGAGAACAGAATCCACCAACAGCAGCTCAGCTTGAAACACTTTTCCTGCCAGCTCATCAGAAGATTTCCAGCCAGGAACATGATCTTGCAGCTTGATTCCTTATGTATATCCTTCCATTTGAGTAATTCTCAGGGGTTTGTCTCATTTTTCCCTGTCTGGTTTTCATTACAGTTTGTGGCTTAACTAATGTGTGCACGTCAAGGAAAGGTTTTCTAGTGTATTAAGCTTCTGCACTGTCCAGTCAGGATAGCCATGTAGTGAGATACACAACTTGATGCTAACAGTGCAGGCTGTGAGACAAAACAAGCTTGTTACAGAGGTGAGAACTTGGGAGTTTAGTAGATGAGAGATGAAAGGGAAATCTGAAGAAATATTTAAGGGTAGAAGGAATGATGTAGCAAGCTTCCTGGTGCAGTACATCATCACCACCATGTCAGTGCCCATATGGTGCCTTGGTGACCTTGATCCAACTCTGCATGAGTGGTGATGATGGGTGTGAGAAACACTTTCACTCTGGAAGCAAACAGCTCCTGGGCACATGGCACAGGGTAATGAATGTGCTGACTCTTTGTGGGCCACCCTAGAAACAACTAAACTGCATCACAACAGTCTAGAGATGATTGCAGCATTTGCCAGCAGCTGTCCCATCCCTATGTAAGGCCTCAGAGGTTTATCTTCTTGGTGTTTGCTTGCCATGGAAACTAATGTCAGCATATTAACTTTGCACTGCTCATGCAAGCACCAAAAAGCATTTTCTCTCATTCAGGAAAGGGTCTGCACTGGACCTGTGAATCCCAGGGTGGAATGCTCTGTGCGTGACTCCATGCTCTGTGTTTTTGCCTCCCTTCTAGCATGCAGCAGGGCAAGATGTTTTTCTTTATTGGAATAACAATGGCTGTGATCCAGGGAGGCTATGCTCGCCGAATCAAGCCAGGAAATGAAATCAGAGCTGTAAAAAGGGTAACAAAACCTAATAATGTGCATTTTTCTTTCCCCCCACAAATCTGATGTGTTAATTTTTCAGTCTAAAGGGTAGTTGGAGGATGTACCTGTAGCTGTGAAATCAAAAGAAGCTTCTGTCTCATTAATCCAGCTAAATGACTTCTCAAGACCCTGGTTATTTGGCACTTCAGTTTAACTAAGCTTTGGAACATTAGTCCTTTCTTACCATACCAGCTGCAGTGCTATTGGAACTTTGAGTTCTTCATATGTAATTGCGGTAAGGAATGAGAACAGAGTGTCTGTCTGTGCAGGTAAACTGCTGTGAAGATGATGCTTTGTTTCAGTGATTTCTCTTGCAGTGCAGACATTGAAACTACTAAAGCTGCTTCAGAGCTGATCTCTTGACTCTATTTCTGGCAAATTATTTTCAGGGACATCTTCAGTCTGGCTGTCTCTGTGCTTGACAGGCTTTTTCCCTAGAGTATGTTTCACTGGTGGGCAGGGGGAAATAGGTTCTTCCCCCAGTCTTTAATTTGTGATCATCAGTATTGCGTGTTACAGTGGCACATACCAACATTCAGACCAGAGTTTCACTGACAGAGGTGTGTGTTTCCTTGGCTTGCTTGCCTCTTTCTTCATAGAGATTCTGCTGCTGCTGTACTGGCATGACAGAGAACGGTTTCCTGCAGCTTATACAGCTGTGGGACAAGTAGATACGTCTTGTCATTTACATTTGTGCGGGGAACTCAACAAAGCAGGTCTCTGAACTTTTTTTGGCTGCTTGGTAATAGGTTTGCTTTAACTGTTAAAGCCCCCATCAATTTATTATACAGTATTTAGAGGGCAGTGTGATTTTAACATCGGCAGGGTGAAGCAGGTCACCAAACTGCACTGCACTCCAGGGAATTGACTCAGCCTTTCTTATTTCTGCTGGTGAAACCATCTCCACCCTGTTCTCTGGCAGATGTAAGTGGTGGGCACGGCACTCACTGTGTCACATAGGAAGTGTTTCCCTGGGAGTGAAAACTCCTGCTGCTCTGTTAGTGCTGCTTCATCCCCTGCATCAGCTTCTTCTCTGTGCTCTGCCAACCTGTCACTGCACTGCAGCTCATGCGAACTGTGGGTTGCCCCACTCATTTTTATACATCTTCCCCTTGCCTGCAGTGGGAAGTGTAGTTACCTCCACATACTCAGTTTAGTTGGTCCTGGCTGATGGCTCCTTACAAACACCATATGCACTGTGCAGGAACTCGCTGACCCTGAAGTGCTCCTCCTGTGGATCTCACATGTTTTTGTGGGAGTTTCCCCTTTTGCTGAAGTTATTCTGGCAATTCCTATCACATGTGGCCTCCCTTAGCACAGCTCGAGACGTTTGGTGGGAGTGAACATGCAGCAGATCTTAACTTGCTGCAGAAGCTCTGTATGTAAGGGAGACAGCACCGGGGAGTTGAAGTCCAGGCTCTTGGAGGAGATGAAGAATGTTTCTTTCAGGGTTTGAATTCCAGATGCCATTCCCTTCTCCCAGTTTTTCTTCTTCCTGCAGCAGCATGGACTCTGAAAGCTAAAGATAAAATCAGCTCTGCTGAGGAAAAGCAGAGGAGCTGTGGTCCTGTTGGGAGCTGTGTTCCTGTTGCACACAAGCCTTTTGATCGCTTGTGCTGATTCAGGAACTGAAGAGTTAAAACTGGATTTCTGTCCATGAGAGAGGGAGCTGGGCAAAAATCATCTTCCCCTCAGCTGCGGGAAGTCAGTGGTGAGATAACTGCAGCCTGTGGTACAGGGGCCTCACTCCAACGTGTGGTCTGCAAGCATGGGACAGTGACAGGCAACAGCACAGTAAATTACCCTCTTGTGTGGCCATCCAGGTGAATTTGAAATGCCTACTTGAGAAGAAAGGGCTTTCTCCTTCTAACTTCAATGTAGTCCCATCAGCGGAAGAGAACTGGCAGGAGCCCTAGAGTTAGGCTTCAACAAGCAGGGCTTAAACGTGACTGTGTGACTCATTCCTTTTTGCAGGCTATTATATTGCTGATTCCAGCTTTCCTGCTAATTGGATGGGCTGCAAATGTGGCCATGCTGGGTGCTGGACTGCTGCTGTACTCTTGTGGTGAGCTATTCAAAACACACTGAAAGCTAAGCACAAATAAGTTTTCTTCTCCTATTTATTCACCCCATTAAAAAAGATGAATTTCTAATTTCAAATGTGGAGTGACAGAAAGTTGATGTTTCTGTTTATAAAACAGGGGAGAAATTGTGTCTGGGTTTTTTTTCCTGATGCTGTTTGTATCACATGAAGTTGCCATGGTGATACTTGGACGCATCTCCAGTGCTCCTGTTGTCCTCTTGTCTCACTGGAGAGCTCTTGAGGGTGTTGTCTTCCTCTTTTATCAGACCTAGAAGCAGAATAATCACTGAACAGCTCAGCTCAGGAAAAGAAGGGAGACAGCATGTCTTTTTGTTTGTGGTGGCTGCGTTATTCCATAGGCAACAGCCTGAGGAGACCTGTGTGCTCTGAAGCTGGAGGTCAGTGAGGGTGAGGGTGAATCAGCGCTGCCCTGACCACTGTGGCACTGCTCCCCTCCCCTGCACTGCAAGCTGCTGGCTCGGGGGGGGAGCAAAACTCCACCTTGTTTCTGATACGCAGGGAGTGTTTTCAGAGGTGTTTAAGTGTTTACATCAGTAATATTCTGCCAGTATCTCAGCTGTTATTGAGGGAAGTAAAAGTTGGATTCCCCATCTGAAGTGCCTGTCAGAAAAGAGATTTCAGGTATCCCCAGCGCTGCTAATGTTATAGTAACATAATAGCAGCATTGGGAATAGCTGAAATCTTTTCAGATAGGCTAGAAGTTTCAGATATGACTAATTGCAAAAATAGAAGCCTTCTCTTTTGCAAGATACAGCTTGATTTAAGAGTAAACTGTAAACCACAGAAATGCATCTTGTCAGCAGCTTGCTTATCTAGGGACAGTTGTGTGTTTGGCAGGTTTCAAAATCTACATCTTATCTACAAATTACCTTGGTGTTGAAAGCCCAGCAGTGAGGAGGATGAGAGGTGTTCATTTTGTCCAGTTGTGTTTCTAAGTTACGTGCCTCATCTTCCTGGGCTCTGTACCTGGGCAGAAGACCCCATCTCCTCCCCAGTTAAGCCAGATAGAAGTGCCTCTGGAGCAGCCTCTTCCCCTCTCTTCCTCGCTCTGCCCCAGAAGTTAAGGTGCTTGCAGTTAAGGCAGCATGTCCATGGTTCCTGCTCTCCTATTGTCCTTCCCTCCCAGGAAAGATTTTTGCTTTGTATGCTTAGAGCACTTCCTTCTTGGCAGAAAAGGCCCCTATTTCAGTAAGAGGGCAGTGACTGCTGAACAGCTCTTGGCTTTTGTGTCCAAAGATTCTGTAACCTCTTCTTCTTGGACTCAGCTGTCATTTCCAAGACAGAATGTATCTTCGTCCACCCATGAGCACAGTAAAGCCACACACATTGGGAACTGTGATTCTGTGAACAGCCACCTCACTGTCTCTTAAAATGGGAGCAGTTCCCTTTCCCTGCTCCACCTGACAAGACCACTGTGATTTGGAAAACTACCAGTGCTCTGATCTGACCTATCCACCCTGTTCCTGTGGGCTCACAGAGTGAGAGGCACTGATTTGAACCATCTGCTCCGAGCACGCATGGCTGCGGGCTCTCTGTCCGGGTTGGCTTTGAGGGTGTTTTCATTATTGAACTGGATTAAACCTGATGATCCATTGTTGGTGCAGTGCCCCAGAGCTCAGCATGTTTCTGTGCAGTAGTAACGAGTTAGGGCTGTGTGTTTGTCACATGTGCTGGTTCTGAGCTCTGCTCTTCACTGTCTCTTTTGTGGATTTTTCCAGCTGCGGCCATTGTTATCCCGTGTTTGTCAGCAGTGGTGTCGGGCTACGGTGAGTGTCTTTCCTGCTTTGAGCAGCAGCCCTTGGCCACATCACTGACCTTTGTGGAGGCTTGGCTGAGGTACAGAACTGACCTCAAGTTCAGTGATGCATCAACAAGAATACTCAATGGCTTAGGTCCACCTCAGATCCAAGTCTTGGAGCAGTGGCTCTGCTGCTGCTTGGGCTGTGTAAGGGGCCTCTTTCCACCCAGATGCATTCACAAGGACAGCAGCAACGCTGAGCGTTACAGTGAGCTGCTGTTCCACATCGTATGTGTGTAACCCTGAAGCGATAACCACCCTGGCAGGAGTGAGGCTGAAGTCTAGAGAAGAGCTTGTGCTCTGCCCTGCTTCACGTCAGCAGTGATCCATGACCACGGCCATCCTCTGATGGCACTGGGCCATATTGAAGGGAGGCAGAGCCCTGTCTCACTGGAGGTGCTACAGCCTTCAACCCCTTCTGTGAGCATCCTTCAGGGATGGGGAGCTGAGTGAGGCTGCCAGGGATAGGAGGAGGATAGTCTGACCCTGGGAAACTCAGGAACATCCCACAGGGGAGCATAGGAAAGCCTGAAGTGCCCTGTACCTGTTTCTGCAGCTGGCAGCACTCCGTGGTGGACAGGTTCAGAGCTGATGAACAGCAGCCATCTGGTCAGTGGCTGTCAGCACCACACTGTGTGTTGTACTGCATAATGCAGCTTGTTCCAATGATATGGGGAAACATGAAGCAACCTTATTTCTGGTTATGAGCAAAAAGATGAGGAAGCATAGGCAAGGAATCAGTATCATGGGCAAAGGCCACAGCCAGGACTGAGAGAGGGAATGGCCTGGGTTCTCTGAAAGAGACACCAGCCATCACTGACTGCAGGAAAACCATTTCTTCCCAATTCCTTAAAGAAGACCTCAGGAACCTTCTGAGTTGTTCTGGGCTGGCAGCACTGGTTGCTACATGACCTGGTAAAGCAGCTCTTGCCGGGTGGTGTCTGCAGATGACACCATCCTTTCTTTAGCTCTGCATCAGTTGGTTGCCAGCACTGCAGTGCTTGCTGAGGTGGCTTTGCCCATGGATGTCACTTGTGCATTGCTCCAGTTTGACTTGCATCTATGCTTCTGTGTGTATCCATCACACCTGTGCCTCCTCAGCAAACCTGGTACAACGTGAAGATTGTTTCTGTTGGTTTTTGGGGGTGTGGTGAGGAAAATGCACTCCATGTCCCTGACCAAGCCCTCTTGACAAGCTCTGCTGGTTTTCCATGAAGCAGCCATGTTTATCTTGGTGGAGGGGGAGTAAATGCAGACTGGGCAATGAGTGTGGAATGAAAGGAGGGGGAGACCTGTGTGGGAAACACCTCCAAGGGAATAAGGCTCCCAGAGCTAGAGCAGTGCCCCTGTCCCCCCCCCCAACCCCTCTCTGTTTGTACAGGCTCTGCCAGCCAGAAGGGGCGAGTGATGGGGATCCTGCGGAGCCTGGGCGCCCTGGCCAGAGCCCTGGGACCGATCCTGTCAGCTACTGGTGAGTGTGGCCTCCTGCTCCTTCTCCCTCTGCAAACACCCAGCAGTGCTGGGTCGGAAGGGAAAGGGGAGCCCCATAAAGTTGTCTTTGCAGAAGCAGCGCTAAACCATCTGTAACCTATGAACTAAGGAGTTTCCAGTGCTCAGGGCACACACTGTGCCTTGTGGCCCTGGCTGAGGGCAAAGGAGGCTGTGCCTGAGGAGCACTGGTACCCTCTGAGGGGGTTCAGCCCCCTCACGCTGTTACAGGGACAGAGTAAGAGGAAGCAGCCATGCAGCACATCAAAGCTGGAACTAGGACCTAACATTAAGTGAGCAAAGCCAGAATCTGTTTCCTGGCTGAATCCATGTGCCAAGCATCCAGCTCGCTCTGGCTCACCAAACCACTGCCCCACAGTGCCTGTGCAGGATGGCTTTCCAAGAGGAAGAGCCTGACTGGGCTTTACAGCAAAGCTGCTCCCAAGAGCATGCTGTGGAAAACAGCAGCTCCAGTTGACACAGGTGCAGAGACTAACAAGGTGAATCTGCTTCCTTTGCAGTTTACTGGCTGGCAGGGGCCGAGGTTTGCTTCAGCCTCTGTGGTGCTTTCTTCCTCGTGCCCTTTGCTTTACTTGGTTCTATAAAAGAGCCGCTGAAGGAGGAGTAGGAAGGAACCACAGAACTATCACTGGCTTCCCAGGACCGCTCCTCGACCTGACTCTCAGCACCCAACTCTGCTGTTCAAAGAGGAAGAGGAGGACTTTGATCTTCTGAAAGGGGCTACTCCATAACCACTCACAGCAACAACAGACTTCAGGTCTCCTACAGCCCCGCCAAGCTCCGTGTCTCGTGACTTCCCAGCCAGCTTGGCTGGTTTCACAAATAGAAGAACCACTCCCAAACCCGTGGAGTAAAGCACTGAGCCTGTCAGCCAAGCAGGGCTGTCACAGCAGCAGCACGGCCCCTGCTACCACAACTCTGCCAAGCATGGGTGAAGTTGCAGCGCCCACTGTGCTCGGCTCTGCTCCTGTCCCAGTCCTCAGCCTCCACTGCCATGGACTGACTGATCTGTGCCTGGCTACCAGAGAACAGCCCCCCAGGGGGCTCACACCAGGTACTGCTGCAGTTGGCACCCTAAGGTGCAGGGGGCCTGGTAACAGCTTGACCACCTGCCTTAAAACATGACAGTCAAACCCAAACAGCAGCTGCAGGCTCCCCCAGCCAGACAGAGACTGTTTTTAATACACAATTAAATTGAGAGATGTTTTATATTTCTGATTCTGTGATGGTTTCTGCTGACCCAGCAGTGTTCCTTTTGCATTATAAATAAACTCTTCCATCAGACACTGCTCTGCTCAGTGAATCACAGTGAAGACATGACAGCCACCTCACCCTGGCAAAGCCCTGTGGGGACCAGAACTCCCTGCAGTGCCCAATACCTCCTGGGGTACCCTCCCTCCAGTGGGGCCACCTGGGTGCTGCCCCAGGATGAGCCCTGCACCCAGTGGGAATACATTAAAGCAACCATTAATCGACACATTAACCACTGAAAGAAAAAGGGACAAATTAAACCCGACAGGCTACAGCTGTAGAATAAAACTGCATAAAGGTTTGAAAGCAGAGCATGAAGGTTTTAGGACTTTTATTTGTGAGTAGAACTTAATGATACAAGAGAAAGAAAAATACAGGACTTTATTCTACCCCGAAGTGTGTAACCATAGCATACATGACTACATTTCATACTGTAATACAAAGAATTAAAAGAACAAACTACAAAATTAGAAATTAAAGAGTCATTGCATACATGGTCGAGAGAAATGGAGGGACACCATTAAAGAACTGAAACATACAGCAATTAGTCACTGAATTAGGACCCTGCGCTAGAACACGATTCAGCAAAGTGAGCGCTGCACTCTTAGAGTGGGCAGAAGGGACACAAGGTTCAAGCACACGTGAAGCCGCTGCGGCCCTGGGCAGTCACCAGCCTTACTTTGGCACCGACCCCACTTCCAAGTCTCTTTTCCACACCCAAAGCTCCCATTTCCCCTTCCATCTCCCAGCCTGAGCTGTGCCCCTGCTCTGCCGCAGCAGCGTAAGGCATTAGTTTGCTGCTATTTTACCAACTGCAACGTTTGCTATTGTTCTAAGAGGTGAGAGCCACATCCCATTTTCAACAGCCGCTTGCCGTGAGTCAGCGTGTTGCCCTCTCCTCGCAGGGCTCTCAGCGTTTGCTGCTGCTGAACCAGAAACACTGACATGAGGAACCGAACGGGTTCCAGCCCTCCCTATCCCACCTGGCACTACTGTTAGGACGGGTGACAGACAGAAGCATGGCAGTGACTGGGAAATAGTGAATTCAGTGGCAAAAAGTGATTTTCTTTACCATGCTACATATTAAACAAACATTTATAGCAAACTGTGAAAATACACCTTTTAAGGTTACTTGGGGTTTCTGTACTTCACTGCTGGCAACAAAAATAAAATATTAAAGAAACACCAGTTTTTGTAAGTGAAAATAATTCATATAAAACAAGGTTACCTATTCGGTGTAACGCATTTACATTGTTATCATGGGAAGAACACACACAAAAGGCTGCAAGCAGGGTTTACGTGCAGCAGCCCTGCACCCAAACCCTCTGCTAAGGCCCAAACCAGCAGCCCAGGCTTCACATCACCACTGTGAAACCTCCCAGACACTTGCAGTACAGTTACTTTTAACCCAGGACACTGTTCTAACAGCCTAATCACCATGTGAGCAATCCATAGGGAGGCAAGACTCAAAGTCATGTTTCCCTTAAGCTGCGTTTGCTAGGAAGTAGGATTGGGCTCTTAATGCACAACTGTGAGCAGAACACACCATGGTCACTTCAGTCCTGGACAGCAAAGATGACTTCACGAGCCAGTCAGAAAATAAACGGAAAAACACCTTTGTTTTGTTACAATGGTGAGAGGGGAGAGAGAGGAAGGAATGGATTAGCCTCAAAGCTTGACTAAAACAGGGTTTGTGAGCATGTACTCACGTGTCAGTTCAAGAACACCTCCCCTCGAGAGCGTCACTGCAATAGCATCCGCTCAAGAAGTCAGCACTTAAAAGGAAGCTTACTTGTGACTTGGAACAGAACATGGGAGAAGAACGCTCCTTGGTATAAGCCATGTGTGGTTTATTTGTAATTGTGAACATCTCTTTATTCTTTCGGAAAGCAGCGCAGGCTTTAAATCAAAAATAGCGGTTCGATGCCTTCCACATGGAAGTCATTCACATTTGACTCCAAATTCGGGATCAGATCTGCGGTAGCTGCTGAAAACACAGGATTAGCACCTTTTTGGCCATTAGTTTCTGGTTATAACCTCAAACAATCAAGCCATAACTCGAGGGGCTGGTTGGGTTACTTGTTGCATTCATTTACATAAGTACGACAAAACACTCGGTACGATCTGGTACATTCTAGTGGTTAATGGAGGTGGGAATGACAGTGTTTCTGCAGTGTGTTTGGCCTTTAGGAGTCACTCTTCTTTTTGCTCTTCTTCAGGAAGGAAGGAGTGCGAAACTTCTTTTTCTTTTTCGATGGAGACTTCCCTGGAGATTCATCACTACCTGCATCAGCCGCCGGCCCCTCCTCCGTGGTTGGTGTCACTGGCTCTTCAGCAGGTTGAGGCTGGGGTTCCTTGGTTTCCACTGCAGGTGATTCCGTTTGGCTTTTGGGCACGTCTTCCTCACACCTCCCTTCCTCCTTCCCTAAGGGAGGGAAGCTGAGTGCTTCTGAAGGCTCATCAGGGGTGAGATCTGGGAGGGTTTGCTTGAAAGTTGCAGCGTCACTGTCATCTTTGTAAGTCTGGTCCTGCTGTCTCTCTGGTGGAGGGACACACAACGACACAGTTAGTTTTACCTGAGTGCCCCTGGAGCACAGAAGCGAAGTGAGTTGATGGTGAACGCGCTCTATAAAAAAAAAAAATCTAAGATTTACTTTGCAGAAAAGCCTTTGTAATAGGTCTGGTTTCATTTCGCTTTGCGCACGGAGGTACAAACAAGATACTCAAATGTTCTCTTTGTCTTTAAGCTTCTGACCACAGAACAGATAAAGCCAAATTCCATCCTGTGGATGTAAACCAGCAAGAAAGCGACTGTTCAGCTCTTTCATGTTTTACGTGTATGGTACAGGAAGTTTTAGGGCAGTAAGCAGGAGCTGAACCTGCTCTCCTGGCATTGAGGAAATTCATCATGAAATCCCAAATCTCAAGTCTTTTTTCTTTTGGTGGAATAAAACTAATTGATGGTTTGCAGACAAACAAATCCGCTGATTTCTAAAGGGCTGGCTTGCCAATTTGTGATCAAAATGCTTGGATTTTTATAACCTTGTCCCATGAGATCTAACAGCTGCTTCAGAATATGATCTCCTATCACAAAGGCTTCACTTGTTTCACAAGGTATGAGTATATATTATGGATACCTGCAAGTTAAATCCATGGGGTTTATCAAATTAAATGAGCTCAGCAGGTTATGCAGTAACAGCTTTTGTTCTTAATGTATGTGATGTCTAACAGCAAAATTCACCCCTGTAAAAGGAACATCAAAAACCTGGTGCCAACTTCATGTCCAAAGGTGAACTTCACCACTGCTCCCTCAACAGTAACATTTCCCTCCTTCACCACTACGCTTTAGAGATGTTCTGTTTACAACTCCTCTTTGTACATAACATGTTTAACAACCTGCCGTTTTTAGAGGTCCCTGCAATGCTCGTCACTGCGCTGGAACCAAGAAGGATCTCGTCAGCTGTGTCAAATATACCCCCACTGATGTTACGTAAGGAGGAATTCAGAACAAAATCCAGGCCATGCTCATTGTAAGGCACAAAAGGCAACTATTTCTTTTTCCCCCTTTTAAAATCTTGTTCATTTTAATTTGAAAAGGCTGAAGGCTTTCATAAGAATTTACAGAAAATAGTTGATACTTTCCCGTTTTTCCTATGGAAATGATGAGTGTTCTTTTTATTTCTGCCAGATGGGAGTGATAATCCTCTAACATATTTTAGAGGGCTTTGTTCTGTGAATACCTGCTAGAAAACCAGTATGTCTTGCCTAGAGCACTATGAGCTTCTAATAGGTTAAATCAACAGCACACACTAGTATTCAGTGCCAAACACTCGGAATGCACGAGTTAGCAGTTTAAAAGTTAAAATGCAGGCAGGACTTAGAGAAAGAAGAGAAAAAGCCATTATGTCCAATGCAAGCTGCCCCCTGAACTCTGGTTTAACCCGAGTCTGTGATGCACAAACCTGTAAGAAGCACCACCTACAATTTGCTCTTTTGGGATCTCATTTTACTTTTCAGGAATTAACTGAAGCCTTTCTGATGTCTTCTGCCTATGATCCAGGGACAAGATGCCTGTGCCAGGGGAATTTAGACTGGACTTGAGGGAACATGTCTTTACCGAGAAGGTGGTCAAACCCTGGAGGAGGCTCCCTAGAGAGGTGGTCCATGCCCCAAGCCTGTCAGTTTAGGAGGCATTAGGACAATGCCCTTTTGCTCAGCCCTGTCATGGTCAGGCAGTTGGACTAGATCACTGTTACTGGTCCCTTCCAACTGAAATAGTCTTCTCTATTCATTAGCTGGCCCAATTGTTACAGAGCAGGCACCATGTTACACTGCCGGTCAGTTTCATGGTATCTTTTTAAAATAACTTTAAAAGAAAGTTTTAAACAAAGTCTAAAAAAAGGGGATTATAAATTCTTAAAATGAAAGAACAGGAAGCTACGGGCATTTGCCAGTTGGCCTAAGCCTTGGATAAATGTAAGCGGGTTTATAACTCATTAATCCAGGACTGCTATCCTTCCCAGTCTGTCAAATTACCATCAGCTTTCCTAAACAGATTAGCATTATGCTGGAATCAAA